ATATATATATAATAATATAATATATATATATATATATATATATATATATATATATATATATATATATATATATATATATACACCCGTTTGCAAAAACGTTGGCCGCAGATAGATAGATAGAGAGATACTCGAAGTCTAATTAGAATTGCATATGATTACATTTACATGGGATTTCAATCGTATTACACAACATAGCAATTCTAATTAGATTTCGGGTATCTATCGATATATCTATCTGCGGCCAACGTTTTTGCAAACGGGTGTATATATATATATATATATATATATATATATATATATATATATATATATATATATATTTATATATACGCATTCATACCTCAAAGTCATTTAAGCTTGTTTAATCTCGCGTTAAGTGGGATCATGTAAACAGCCTCTAAAGCTAAGTGGTATAAGATAATATGAGATGAACTTGTGGGTAGCACCTTACTATTATTTGGAAAGTAGTATCTGTAGCTATACTGGATACACAGTAGTCATAGAATAACTATATAATTATCATCTCGTATGTTGTGAACGCGCTAATAGGCTTTCCAAAAACTTCCTGCTGATTTTTTCCTATGTCCTGCTAACAACAAGCGTTATTAATGGTCCACATGACTATAGCAAAACTGTAATTAAACAGATTTCCTTCCCAAAACTTTTTTTCATTTGTCATGCAGCCTTACAATTAGGAACCGGCCTTGTTATTTAGGTAAGGACCTTCTTCGATCCGGACCGCAAAAAGGAAAATAATTCATGTCTGGTTTGCAAATATATATACTATGCAACAATGACAGACATGTAGATTGTGGTAACAATATCGCCGCAAGTGCCAGCGTGTACGGCCCACGCAAAAGTTATTGCAGTCAGGTTGTCGCGATCATTCAGTTTTATGGACGCATACTATTCAAAGCCTAGCTCTGACAAAATAATTTTTATATCTTAACATGTTTTGAATGTGCGTTGACGTTGTTTTAAAAGATCTAAACGGCTGGCGCCTCTGAATGGACGGGTATTCCTTATAATTATAGTTTATGTGCACGAAGAGTGCATGAACTCCTTTCCGCTAACGGACATTAGCGCATACAGTAAATTTGGCAGCAAAACTCTTGCCAAACAGTGAGTTTTTAAAATACGTCTGCTGAATCTTCCATTGAGTTGAGATATAAATTTCATTCTAAGATTGCCTCTGTATTTTTTAGCTTTTAGATCCTCTGTGACAAGCAGCAATGGGAGCTTATCGGAAGCTCGGGACGCTGGTTTTCGGTTTCATATTGTACGTTGCCGACGTTGGCTCCGACATCTACGTCGCAATTCAGTATTATAAAGAAGGTCTGATTGTCCCATTTATAACAACCGTTGTTTTCACAGCCCTTCCCGTGTTCATCGTCAATATCTTCGCGACGTATAGCCTAAAAAAAGGACACGTAACTTTGAAATTTGCCAGCTGCTTCGTTCACTTGGCCATGGTGCATCTGTTTATCCAGGAATTATACAGATGGAAAGAGGACAGCGAACAATCACACAACGGCAAACACTTCTCAAAATGCGAATGCGCGGATTGTATAAATCGTTTTAAAAGTAGTTGTAAGGCGACGCTAGACTCCACGTTAGTGGGTTATATGGAAGCATTCGCCGAATCGGCACCCCAGTGTTGTTTCCAAGTTATTGTGATGCGCAATAGTGGTGGTACACCTCCTTGGTACAGGATTGCTTCCATTTCGGTGTCATTCTTGTCCATGTTATGGAGCATTTATTTGCTCGAGAAAGCGTACTGGGTCAACCGAAGAGTCGAACAGGATTTGAGACCGGCAACTTACCCTAAAAAGTCGGCTTTTGTATTTATTCTTTGGCAATTGCTTCTTTTGCTTGCAAGATTTCTCACATTTGCTATACTAGCGTCCAATTACGTTTTGATTTTTTACCTCATAATTATCCACTACATTGCCATTGTTAACCTGATGCATTGGTTTTTCCGTAAGAGTTCATGTCGAACACGGTGTATCATCAGCGTTTCGTGCTTTGTTACATCGTATCCCTGGCATTTCCACCTTTCAACATCAGGCCTAGAAGTACCAAACAAGTGCTTCCATAAAGAAGAAGACGTTGTCAAAATTAGGAAATTTATTCGATATGCGCTGTTTTTAGTGCCCTTTTTGTTTGCTCTCGAAGGCACCATCTTGATTCTCTTTTTCTCGGAATTACCAAAAACAAGGGCGTATGATGCTTTAAAAATTTTGGGTGGAACGATTTTGGCAGCATACGTTATGTCCCTGATTTACTACCACTCACGTTGTCATCCCTTCACCAGAATTTCGCAAGTTAGGCCCATTGTCGTAAAACGCGGCATCATTAACGTTCAACCAATAAACGACGATGAATAGCCGCTATCACGATTCTGTTGACGCCAACTGAGGCCGGTTTGTTTATGAAAGCTTGGTAGAGCTATCTAACAGATAGTGATGTTTCCAACCTTTGTGAAGGTGCTTGAAACAATTAAAGTATAGATTTAGAGCTAATGGTTATGAGAGAGAACCCCAAATTTAAAATCTAAGGTTTAATCAAGGTTACGCTAAACAACAGGCAAATTCCGAGCGATGGTAGAAACCACTACCTTATTCTCTAGAGGGGGAGGCTTAATTGAGAGCACGGACCACAGCAAGTTTTAAGATGTTCGGTAAGTTCAACTGTATGAACTTACTGTATGAACACAATACTTTCGACGGCAATACTAAGCCAAATGTTTACTACAACAACGAGTAGTTCGGCAGAACAGACATGTTTTTTGAGTTTACAAAGAGAGGGGGTTAATAATGGGTATACCGTATCCTGTATCCGGTTTATAGCTCTATCCAGCTTTCATACAACGGACCACCTACGTTGTGTAGTTCAACTGAATCCAATTAAAGCCAATGCGGTACTCCATTTGTCATGAAACCGACTGTAAAGTAAGATTACGTAATTTTTGTGTTTCGTTGTTGCTTCCGGTTTGAATAATTAAATTACTCATTTAGTTCCTGTAAAACAGATAATACGCGTGAAAACAGGCCACCACGAGGAGGACCGTGTATAGTTCGCTCAATGGTTTGCACATATAGCTTGAAAAAAAAAGTAGCCTATATTATAGAATAGCTGTCGGGTAAGTTAAGTTTTTCCTGTCTGTGATAAAAGGGAACATATTTATAACATTTGCGATTATATCGTATATTGCAATCATAAAGTATACATCCACATAATTATATGAGTGAGCTGAATATTGCATATTGTATTAATTTTATTGTAGCTAGAGTGTGTGAATAATTCATGTGTATTTACAGTTCTAAAGAACGGTTCATCATTTCTTATAGATGTAGGGAGTGTGCTATTTAAAAAATAGCTATTTTGATGCATAAAATTTCGAATTTTTTTGCTCGCTGTGTTTTTAATAGCGTATATTAATAGCGTATATAATGTATTTTAATAGCGTGTCGTTATCAAATTGATTTCTATACACATTTAATAAACAAATTACTTCAAATTACTTCACTTTTTTTCTGTCAGAGTTCGAGATAAATATACGAAATCTATCAAACTAATAAGCATTTGGTACTAACCATTATTGCACTTTAAAGGCAAACAAAGATATCCTGGCTAGTGAAACTGGTATAGTGTAAACGGGGCCATAATTGATGGTGAAATGATGATGAAATCATTCATGGTTAAAATTTGAATGCCGTGTTCACGAATTTTAGCCTGTGGGGATTTATTACAACTTATAAAATGCTAAATACGAACAATTTGAAATTGTGAATATGTTATATGATTAAATTTAAATTAGCCTTGTTATTGCTTCGAAAGAACATAGTATAGCTGACCGCGGAACACCGAGTTTTTATTGCGATATTATCCCTACAGAGTGCTTAGGCATTCAAATTCTAAAGCCCTATTTCCACGGGCTAAATTTTCAAGCGAAATGCGAAATATTTCACCTGCTTCTTTTGAATTGTGAGCAATGAAGCAGAATTAATTCATTCAAGTGGTCGAAATTCAAAAGAAACAGGCGAAATACAGGGTGTCTCAAAAAAAACGCAACCACTTAATATTCTAAAATTCATATTGTTCATAAGCTCAATAGATTTTATGCCCCTGGGATTTTAAAATAGCTTCTAATCGTACAGTTCAACTGCTAATAGTCAAATCAGCTAAACTAATAATGGTGCAGCTAACAACCGAACAACGAGTTTTTATTGTCGTGCATGATAACTTGAATGCTAACTGTCGACCTTGTAAATAAAATTTTACTCGTTAAATACTTTCTCGTTGGTTTACGCACCCGACTTTGTTTACCGACGATTGTGCCGCTAGAATATGATTACAAGCTTTCTCGCATTCCAGGGGCCAAACGTCTTTTGTGTTGTAGAACAAAGAGGATATTCATAAATATTAAGTGGTTGCGTTTTTTTTGATACACCCTGTATTTCGCATTTGGCCGAGAAAAAGCGTCCGTGGAATTAGGCCCTAAGAATTACATTGTTATTGGTGCTTTCAATAGTTTTCGGGGTTTTTTTGAACACTCTGTATTTATCATTTTGCCAGCGCACCCTAACGACGCTTGCACCGATGGACGTTTGGTTGTGGGATATTTATTAGAATCAATAGATATTAAATTTTAATGACTACCTTTCGAATTGTTTGCTAATGCATTTCACACAAGAAGGAAGGGCGTATCATTTGAACTGTAGGCGTATAGTTGAGATCAGTGGCGTAGCCAGCCTGACAATTTGGTCATGCTATGCAAATTTCAAGCCATTATAATATGTAGAATGAATAAATTTAATTCTTTAGAAATTCATTGTTTTCAAATTCAATGAACACCAAAATATTGGCATAGCATGACTAAATTGTCAGGCTGGCTACGCCACTGGTCGGTAATACGATTCGTCGTATTATATTAGATAAATTATATACAATTTCTGGCTACCGTATTTTCGTCCCTCTTTCGTCCCACATGCTGTGAAATAAACTTTATTTTTAAGGTTTGCTGAAAGTAATCAAGTGCAATGTTTCATTACCTGTTTATGTAATGATCAGACCAAGAGGGGGAGATTTTCTATACAGTGACGCAGAGTTTGAAGTAATGATCGAAGATTGTAAAGAACTAATCAAAGCAGGGGCTGATGGCGTTGTTTTTGGTATTCTCACAAAGTAACTATTCTATATAATCGTATTCATACATGCAGTCCCGAGGGGGCTCACACAAAATTTTTGGTAATAATTCCATGTTCAGTGTAGACCAACATGCATACATACAACACCCTATTTTATACACCTATTGTATCAATTAATATTTTTCGCACTTCACTCGATGTTGGTAAATTCTAGAGGTTGAAAGGGTCTTAACTTCGAGTGGAATTATACACACTTCAAATCAAGCCAGGAACAGTTGATGGAAAAATGAGTCAACTATCGGTCCTCCGGCCAGAGTCGAACCTACGCTTTTGCGATGCCGGTGTAATGCTCTTGTCACGAGCGTTGGCAACGTTTAGCGTTGGCTCCGTGCTTTTAAATCTCGCGCGGTCCGTACAGAACAAAAAAAAGTATCACACTATATCATACCGTACCCTGCTGTATCATACCGTATCATACTATATCATATTGCATCATAATTATAGTATCGTACTATATCATATTTGATCACATCGTATCATGTAGCATCATAATATATCAGGCTGTATCACGTCGTATCATATAGCATCATACTATATCATACTTTATCATATCATATCATATCATTTAGCATCATACTATATCACACCGTATCATTTAGTATCATACTATATCACACCATATGATATAGGGTCATATTATATCATACCGTATCATACTGTATCATATTGCATCATGTAGCATCGTACGACACCGCAGAAATTGGTGTTTAAGATCGACGTTTCAACCCGAAAATCTAATCGCTGGTTCACAATTGTGCATTTCTGTACCGCTATCAAAGGGAAATCTTTTGACTATATTAAAAAAGTTCAATTTTTCTTTTTAATACGCATTCTGAAGCTTCTTCTAAATATGCATTTTGAAGCTTAAAGTATACGCAAGGTTATTAATTCAGACGATTCGTTTTTACCGTGTGCAAGCTTCAAATCTTTTGTGCAAGACATATTTTCTTGAATATTTATAATTCTTTTTTCTCACCAAGTTTCCACAGTGTCGCATTTCACAATATCATACTGTATCATATCGTATCATATGGCATCATATTATATCATATCGTATAATATAGCATCATATAGTATCCTGCTATATCATACCGTATCGCACTGTATCATATAGTATCATACTGCATGATATGTATCATATAGTATCATACTGCATGATAAGGGTGTTGTTTTATGCATATTGGTGTATACTGGACACGGAATTATTACCAAATTTTTCGCTTTGTTTTCAATTGTCATAATTCAACCCTATAGAAAATGCAAAGAAAATCAAGCAAAAAAAATTGTTAATTGAATAAACCCAATTGAAAGCAAGACGATTTATTTGAATGCCTCAACCTAATAACAATGCTATTTACACACTACTGCGTTGATCATACATTCAAATTCCAACAAAAGCTTCATTCCAATGGATTTCGTTCTCCTAATCTACATATAACGATTCAGTGAGACACTGCTCTTGCTACTAAGCTTCGCAAATGTGCATGCACGTTACTGTAATATACAATTTTTTTGTAGAAAAGGGGAAGTCGATATTCCTCGCTGTCAAACCTTATTAGGTAGGTTATTTTTTTAAAGAAATTTATGGGCAATTGACGTGAGGAACATTGTGCCAAAGATAATTATTAATACACAAAATTTTGTGCGTATATCTTAATACAAAAAATGCATTTGTAGCATTTGTCAGTTATCGTATTTCATGTCGGGGCCGGTTGTATAAAAAGGTAGTTATAACTTTTAACTATAGTTAGTGTCAGAATTGGCCAATCAGAATACGTATTTTCTAGTTAACTACGATTTAACTACTTCAGATGTTTTGTACAATATGGCCCAGCTAAGCAATTCTTCACAAAATTACCTACAATTTAAAATCTTCAATCTCGCCTTTTGAATGGTTACTTTCTTGTCACTACCTTTCATTTGGTTTTGGTTTTTAATCATATATGAAGCATTAACCATATAATTTATTGTGCTTTAATTTACGTTTACATATAGATATCATCAAGCCGCTTTCCGCGACATTTCATCGAGGTAAAATTGGGAACTGTGGTGGCAGACTTACAAATTAGATCCTAATGTATGAAAGTTTTTACCTCAATTTTTCCCACCGATCTGAAAAAATTAGCAAATATCTCATTAAGTTATACCTGTAAATTTTATTGTATTTCCTACAGCCTTTGATATGGTCTATGATCAGAGGTCTTCCTTAGAAGTGATCATAAACTTGGGTTTTGATCGTATCCTAACGAGTGGGGGCAAGTCTAGCGTACTTGAGGGAGCATCTCGCCTAAAAAGTCTTGTTATTCAGGTATTTCACGTGTTATTTCCTCAATTTTACCGCAAGCATGTCTCTTTATCTCGATCTCCGACCCAGGGCCGTGTCGAAAATAAATGTGCAAACTTGTTTTGTAGTGCGATAACTGAGGGTGCACGGGGAGGACTGGGGTTACGATTTTGCGTAAGCACGAAAATTCTATATAAAATTATATAAAGTGTGCTATAAATATCAATTATAAGTATATTTTTTGGTGAAAACTGAATTCAAATTTGTCAATGCCTCAAATCTGTTCTGTCTTTTAACTTAAGAAGTATACAAATAAAAGATAATAGAAACTGTTAAAACAAGTAGCTATATAATTGTGAGGAAATTTTTAGGTTTTCATTAAGATAACATGCATGAACACAGATATAGCTAATCAGCATCTAGAGTTGACAATTGCTCGATTATACTATATTGTATTTTGATGACGCAAAAAATAGACCTAAAGACATCTATTTCTTTCTGCAGGCGGCAACACGGATTATCATAATGCCAGGTATGTTGCACTGTGCACGTATACTTATTGTGCGCTGAGTATTGTCAGGAAATTTTCGCGTTTTTTTTAGCTAACATGCATCAACACAGATTTAAGCAAACAGCATCTAGAGTTGATGACGTCCAATCCCGAAGATAGTTTAGGAACGTAGGAACACTGGATCATAAAACAAAAACAGAAACGGAAACGGTGCAAAAAATACAACTTATATAGCTATCCAACCTTTTTTTATGCGACTACGGAGCAGTGCTCTTATATATCTCCAGGATCGTAGAGTTCAGGTTCGATTTTTTTGCAACGTTTCCACTTTCTTCTCAACGATAATTGTGTGTTTCTGCTAACAACATTTAATTAATACCAGGTATGGGTAGTTCTAGAATTTAATGCAGCATTTAGGCCTATGACGACTTAATTTTTAATGTAAAAAAGCTTCAAATACTAGTGAATCACCGTAAAACAGCCAGTGATGTTCATGCATAATGTTTTCTCCTCGCTTATAGGTGGCGGTATAAATGAAGATAATTTATTAGGGATATTGCAAGAGACTGGAGCGAGAGAGTTTCACGGCTCTGCTAGGACTAATGTTCCTTCCAAAATGGAGTACCATAATACTTCTGTTTCTATGGGAGGCATTGGAGACGAGTATGGACTTCAAGTGGCTAATCTTGACAGGATAAAACACCTAACATCTAAAGCGCAGACATGTACTTCCAATGATTGAAATGAAAAAACTACAGAACGAAAGTTTTTGAAGGTAACTTGAATTCTATACAATTTGTCGATTCAGATATACAATAATGATATTTCATGCGTTACTTCAATTCTCCTCATGCGTGGTTTTACTTTGATGAAAGCTACTGTAATGTACGGAAAGCTTCTGCTTGTCCGTCATTCTGATATACCTTGCACAGCCCTAGTGCTAGCTACCCTTGAGTTCTGAAATGCATTACTTGGCCACAGCTGGTGAGAAATTTGTCTTCTCCTCAGTCATTGAGTGCATGGGAGATCTCAATCTTCTCACAAAGTTTTCATAGTGGTATTTCCACTCAAATGAGAAGTTGATTTTCAGTGTTTTACGTCGGATCTTTTCTCTGATTAATACAGAACTTAGGTTTACCGTTTTACAGAACTTAGGTTTACAAAGGTTTACCGTTGAATCAGTTTGTGAATATTTGCGATCTTTTAGGCAAAAAAATACCGCTTATTTTCGTAAATGCACGAACAACTAACGATTCAACGAATTTAATATAACTGAAGAATACAAGCAGGTTAAACGTTGAGAAAATACCTTTGAATGTTCGGGAATTGGTTTTATATACTATTAAAGAACTATCACTACGCCATATGTGCCCGTGCGCAGCCGACCATAACATTGGGCTGCCGTTCATGCAATCGCCATTCGCAATAAACAAAATATTGGTATGCGTTTTGCAAATCCTTATGCACTCTTTGAGTGCCTATTTTTTATGTAATGGTGTGTGTTCGTGGTGTGTGTTCGTGGCAGTCAAAATTAGAGGACTGCGCCGCCCCATGACATCAACTAATGACATTACTTTGTCTGAATGGAACTGGAATATAGCGAGTCTAGTTAAGCTGTTTTTGTAAATAGTCTGTGGAACTGTTATACTTAGTTTTAATGCATGATCGATTACTGTAATTTTGCCTAGTACTAATAAACGTATATATTTATCTACCCCTATTAAATCGGAGCGTTTGTTGATTACCAGTCGTTACTCGCGCATGCGCATAACTTACAAAACCACCCAATCAACGTCTACTGTCCATGACAGAGAATTTGGACAGCTTTGGATTCCGCTATGTTCTCCCGAGTTCCGGGTGTAATTCCTAATCTCCAGAATGTCCGGTGGAATTGCGAAAGTTTGTTCGTTAAGTTTTGTAGTTTCAAAGCAATGTTTGTGACGTCATCTAATAATGTTACCAGGTGACGCTGACCAAGTTGTCAAGGAAAAAATGTCAAGTTTTTGGCTAACGGCTATAAATAGACTACTGTAAAAATTTTGATTCAGGCGACAAAAATGCAGCGAGAGAATGTAAAGTGCCGAAGATATAGCCAAAAGAATTTAGCAATTTTGGATACTTTTATATTATGGCCGAAAAAGTGTGATTAAATTAATTACACACTACCGACTGTGATACAAAAAGTGTACAAATATTGCCTCCTTCGCATGGCTATATTTTCTGTTCTACATGACATTTTGCAGCCAAATTTGGCAATTTACTATTTCAGTACGCTCTTTTTAGCTGTGGTGATTCATTCCCCTTTTTGTTACCTAAGTCAGAAGTTGGCAATAATGCAAGTGGTTCGTTGCCATTGATTGAATTTCGTATGAATCTGATTTGTTTCCTGTAGACTTGTAAATTGAGGATACCTAATACCTAATTTTAGAACCTAATTTTAGTATATAATACCTAATTTTAGTGTATAATTATTCATCAGTAATTGTCCCCCATGCTGGATATTAAGTCATAGTGACTCAAAAGTACAGAAAAATCTCTGCAGATCCCCCACAATTACCCCATATTTAAATTACCAATTTCCAGTTAGGACCATTTTTATCATGACAACCCCTCCCCCTCTCGTTGTGATGATATGCGCAGTGAATAGGTGAGGATACGTGCAGTTGCTGCCATCTCGCTTGTTTTGCGCATTGCTCAAGTTATATTCCGTGAAGTTTCTAAAAAAAAACTATTTTTTCATATTTTTAAAGATCTCCTTGACCTTGCGTCTGACGCTAAATAATTCGCAAAATATATAATCACGAAAATTAATAAACATCGTACAATAAGCTTCTACAAACTTTATTTTCCACGAGCACTAAAAGTCAGAAAGAATCCACGGTTTTCGACATTTTGTCGAATTTTCGAAAAAGCCTCGTGCAATCGTTCGTGTTGTTACTGATTTCCTGCTTAAATAGCAAAGAAAGACGAGATTTCATTGGTTAATCATGTCATGGAACAGTATAGGCCAACGAAATCTCGGAATGAGAGGTAGAGAAGTTATAATGCAACAAGACAGAGAGGGGATATTGAAAACAGTCCAGGGAATCATACACTTATATGGATTGTGCTGAATTCTTTCCAGGGTAAGTTATAATTGATACTGTAATAGTTCGTTTCAATATTAAATATTTGCTTATATGGGACGCGACGTTAGAGAGAATGCACGGGTTTATCAAGCATGCAGCCGGAAATAAATCATCCACGTACGTACGTTAGCTATTTAACAACGCATTAGATTCCCTGAGTGTTAACGTGATCTTTATACAAATTTCTTAGGAACACTTAAGGTGCCTTTTCTATCGCCCCAAGAGAGAGAATCTTGTTTTACGGTAATTGTTTTAGAGCCCTGAAGCCTCGGACGCGCCACTTTTCTCTCGATATATATTGCAATCATTCATTGTTTAGGTTAATTCGTCATAATAAGCAGGTATATAGCAAAGCAAATGCATATGGGGGTTATCTATTTATTATTCAACGCTTTTACAAGCTATAGCAACTCTTTATTTTGAAAGAAGAAACTAAATTAGCTTATTGTTTTGACGAATTCAACCCGCAGGTGCACGCAAACGCTTTTCTAAAGGCGCTATTAAACAATCAAATTTTCAATCGGAATTTCCTCCCTTTACTTTATACAAGCAAGTGGATGAGTTGTAAATGTGTTTTAACACAGTCATTTTGTTTTAACATAATGTGTTTTAACAGCGTTTTGTTGAAACAAAATTGCCGCGATCTTATATTTAACATATTAATTTGTCACCTGTCAACCTCGGTATGGTATATCATGAGGTTGTTGACAAATTCTGGGGATCTGATTGGCAGAAACATACATGTGTATAGCCGAATATTGTAAATTAAAAAACTTCTTTGCATACGGGAAATGTCTGCAATAGTGTTACCATCTGCTAATATATTTATTCCACATAAGAAAGTGCTATAAGATCACACGCCAGTGTTCAAAATTGTAAGTATAAAGTAAGGCAACAGTTGGACAGTAATCTGTTTACAATCGTCATAACGAATGGATCTCCAGCACAAAACCTATAAGGCTATAAATTTATTTTCATCTTTAATATAATTTTAACCTACTCATGTATACTTGTGTGTTTTACCTTTAATCATTGTATATGCCTGTGATGTGTTTATTTTATCAATATATGTGTATACCCTTTACGTTCATGACATTTGACATGTATAGTAAGTGCTTGTTTACCTGTTTACACTTGCGATTTTTTCTGCGATTTTCATCTTTTTATAGATGTGAACAAGTAAAATGCTTGTAGACCTTTGTTTGTGGACCAGTTATACCCGGTATTCAACGACGCATGAGATGGCTTTGAGGTATTGAAATAGTTCTTTAGGGAACAAAACAAGAACATGCTGTTGGTGCATGTGATGACTACGCCACTGCTACGCCACTGCATGCATGATCGTGTTATATATCTATACTTATATATATATATAATTATATATATATATATATATATATATATATATATATATATATATATATATATATATATACGCATTTCATACCTCAAAGTCATTTCAAGCTTTGTTTAATCTCGCGTTAAGTGGGATCATGTAAACAGCCTCTAAAGCTAAGTGGTATAAGATAATATGAGATGAACTTGTGGGTAGCACCTTACTATTATTTGGAAAGTAGTATCTGTAGCTATACTGCATACACAGTTGTCATAGAATAACTATATCATCTCGTATGTTGTGAACGCGCTAATAGGCTTTCCAAAAACTTCCTGCTGATTTTTTCCTATGTCGTGCTAACAACAAGCGTTATTAAAGGTCCACATGACTATAACAAAACTGTAATTAAACAGATTTCCTTCCCAAAACTTTTTTCACTTGTCATGCAGTCTTACAATTAGGAACCGGCCTGGTTATTTAGGTAAGGACCTGCTTCGATCCGGACCGCAAAAAGAAAAATAATTCATGTATGATTTGCAAATATATATACTATGCAACAATGACAGACATGTAAATTGTGGTAACAATATCGTCGCTAGTGCCAGCGTGTACGTGCCCACGAAAGAGTTATTGCAGTCAGGTTGTCGTCGCGATCAATCAGTTTTATGGATGCATACTATTCAAAGCCTAGCTCTGACAAAATAATTTTTATATCTTAACATGTTTTGAATGTGCGTGGACGTTGTTTTACAAGAGCTAAACGGCTGGCGCCTCTCAATAGACGGGTATTCCTTATAATTATAGTTTATATGCACGAAGAGTGCATATTGAAAACTCCTTTCCGCTAACGGACATTAGCGCATACAGTAAATTTGGCAGAAAAACTCTTGCCAAACAGTGAGTTTTTAAAATATGTCTGCTGTATCTTCCATTGAGTTGAGATATAAATTTCATTCTAAGATTGCCTCTGTATTTTTTAGATTTTAGATCCTCTCAGACAAGCAGCCATGGGAGCTTATCGGAAGCTCGGGACGCTGGTTTTCGGTTTCATATTGTACGTTGCCGACGTCGGTTCCGACATCTACGTCGCAATTCAGTATTATAAAGAAGGTCTGATTGCCCCATTTATAACAACTGTTGTTTTCACAGCAATCCCAGTGTTCATCGTCAATATCTTCGCGACGTATAGCCTAAAAAAAGGACACGTAACTTTGAAATTTGCCAGCTGCTTCGTTCACTTGGCCATGGTGCATCGGTTTATCGAGGAATTATACAGATGGAAAGAGGACAGCGAACATTCACACAACGGCA